AAAAAAAAAAAAAAGAGCTATTAGGAAAATACTCTAGTTTAAAAATGAGGGATAAAAGATTCAACATTTTATAGTTTTTAAAAGGTTTTAGAAAATGGAAGATATATTACAATGTTAAAAATGTGTTTTTCACTGGTAGAGTTATGGGTGAATCTTACCTCCAAAATGTACCATACCTGTTTTTTTCCATATTTTCTGTAATGAGCACACATTACTTATATAATAGTAAAGAAGTAAAATAACTTACTTATAGCCCGGAAGGAAGGTTGGGCAATCTACTTTCATAGGGGTAATGCCTTGGAAACTCAAGGAGGGGTCGCTATGAGTCAGACCTGACTCAATGGCAGTGGGTTTGGTTTTGGTTTCTTATAACTAAAGGGGAAAATGATTAAGAGGACATTCTTTTTCTAGTATAAAATATAAAACCGTTACATTTTAAAAAATGATTTGACTTACTTTTTCGCTTTCCAATGTCCATGTCAGAGGTAGCAGCTTCACATAAAAGCACCATACCTAAGGTAACTCCACCATCTTAGAAAAATTGTTAAAGGCAAAATTCATATAGGCACAAAAGACATATCATTTTAATATCCTAGTCTTTGACAATGAAAATTAAAATGAATAAATATATAAAGCTTCAACTCTTAATTAAAAAATAATTAAATAAGCAATTTTGTGTTTATACTGCATAACAATTATTTACTATGAAGATGTAATAAAGAAAAGGTTGAAAAGTGATTTCATTTGTAGAAATAAAACAGTCTTTTAAAAAAATGTCCTATTATAATTTACAGACAAAAGTAGTTTTCTTGAAATTAGACTGTGGAATAACCTTTCTGGATATTCTTTCCACTATCACTCTGACTCCATATATTATTTTTAAATATTAAGTAGCCATTTTGACTATTTCTACTTCCCCCTGAAATACTTGAAATATACACATTTAGAGACTAGTGACTAAATTTTATTAATATATATTTTTATTTTGAAATAATTATTACAAAGCAAATATCTTTGTAATCATCACCCAAGATCAAAAACTAGACCACCACCTTCACAGAGACTTTTCGCTATGCCTACTAGTAAATAATTTTTATTTGAAAAATAGCTTCTCAAATTTTTCCAGAATCTCAACAATTAATCTTTAAAGCACAAATTACTACTAAGCTACATATTTTTAGGAGCTCTGATGGCATAGTGCCTAAGGCATTTGACTGCTAACCAAAAGGCTGGCAATTCAACCCCAGCAGCAAGTCTTTGGAAGGAAGGTTGGGCAATCTCCTTCCTTAATGATACTGCCTTGGAAACCCAAGGAATGGTCACTATGAGTTGGATCTGACTCCACGGCAATGCGTTTTTTTTTCTCTTTCATTGCTCTATTATAATAATGAAAATAAAATCTCATGTCATCACCTCACTTTTATTCAGCTTATAATACAGTTACAGTTGCTGTCAAGTTGATTACAACTCATGACGACCTCATGGATTAAGAGTAGGACTATGCTATATAGGGTTTTCAATGCAGATTTTTCAGAAGTAGACCGCCAAGCCTTTCCTCTGAGAAAAGAAAAAGTCTCAATCTCCAACCTTTCAGTTAGCAGGTGAGTACTTTAACTGTCTGAACCACCTCCAGCTTAATAATGTTGTTGTTGTTGTTGTTATTTGCCATCGAGTCGGCCCCGACTCATAGCGACCCCTCCTTGGGTTTCCGAGGCAGTATCACTACGGAAGTAGGAAT